TTCAACCATCCAGTGACTGAAAATACAGTGGACTGCATGGATGATTCAGAAACAGAACTCACATCGCCACAGAGCGAAGGAAACCTAGAAAAGTGAGCAATACTTACTGATTTAAAAAAGTTAGAAACTAGGCCCCCGTTACTCTTTTAGCATTCCAAATCATACGAGGACAATCGCTGGAAAACAGAATTTATCTATTGATCAGATTTACCAAACACAGTAATAGTAGAACTGTCACAAGTTAATTTTTCCAAACCAACTTAAAAACAAGCACACAGCATATCAACCACAGATGAGCCCAGTTGAAGTGTAGCAGGAGCATCAAGGCGGGCAGTCCCATAAGCACTAACTAATGTAATTAATTAAAGTTGGGTCGTCAAAGTAGTACTGACTAACGGAAACTGTGGAACTGCTAGCAGCAAACGACCATGAACACGCACCTCCTGGTCGGATTCCTCGTTCTCGAACTTGGGGTAGAAGGTGGCCCGGATCCGCGCCTCGGCGAAGGTGCTGCTGCTGTCTAGCGAGAACTCCTTGAACAGAGCGGAGAGCTCGTCGCCGGCGCCGCCATGCTCGGCCGCGACCCCTGCGGTGTCCGTGCTGGGGGACGCAGGTTCCATCTTCTCCTCGATGCCCCCGGCGGCCGTGGACGAGGGGGCGGGGGTGGGAGCGGCCGTCTCCTGCGCCTGCTTGCCCTGCGAGGAGAGACGCCGACGAGGTTAGGATTCGGGGAGCCGGAGAGGAGAAGGGTCGAGAGGCGGCCTACGTGGTCTCGGCGAGGAGGCATTGCGAGGGGCGAGGGCGGGGGCGGAGGTGGAAGTCGGCGGGGAAAACGGCGCCGCCGGCGCGGGGCACGGCGTGTTCCGGCGGATTTGGCGGTGGGAGGACCTTCCGTTGACTGTTTTTTTTTTCATTCAGGCAAAAGGGGGCAGACAGGGATCGACGGGCTGCGAGAAAATCGGGTTGGGTTTGGGCTGTTGACCATAGCGAATAAGGCCCATTTCTGGGCACATCTACTGTCCATGACAGCACTCCCTCCGTTTCTTTTTACTTCGCACATAAGATTTGTTTCAAATCAAACTTCATAAAGTTTAACCAGATTTATATACAAAATTATCAACATCCACAATGCATGAGATATACTTCCTCCATTCCTAAATATAAGTCTTTGTAGAGATTGCACTAGGTGGACTACATACGAAGCAAAATGAATGAATCCAAACTTAAAATGCATCTATATACATCTGTATGTGGTTTATAGTGGAATCTCTACAAAGACTTACATTTAGGAACGGATGGAGTACAACATGAAAGTTGATTCAATGATGCATCTAATAGAATCAATTTTATGTTGTGAATGTTGACATTTTTTCCTATAACCTTAGTCAAAATTTACTATGTTTGAGTTTAGACAAATCTTATATGCGAACTAAAAAAAAACGGAGGGAGTACTACTACATACATACATTATACGCATAGCATACATAATATACAGTTTTTGCGCCCTGGCCTCTCGAAACTGATAATGCCTCTGAAAACAAAATTAAAACTATTGCATATAGATTATTTATGATTGTCATTAATAAGCAGTTCTATCATCATCTTTTTTTTTCAAAGACGATTTACTGGTTCTGGTGAAAACGACTCCAACAAAACCAACACAATATATATGATGATAACGATGAGCGGTTGAACTTCATCGGTAGAAAAAAATCACAACATTGTTCTTTATTTTGAAATTGCGCATCAGCTGGCGCATTAGCATGATCACTTGGAGCACGATAAAACTGATCAGGATGTATGGGATGGCAAAGGAGGATGGGCCGGCGTCGCCGATGCGCCTGGAGAAGAATATGTACTTTTTTTGCACGCATCCATGCATTGGTCCAATGAAATATAGCAGAAGTCGTTTAGTAAACAGCAGTCTAGACCACTCTTATGCACGCACAGTCCATGTGGTAAATTAATCTTCTTGTTGACTTGGTCATCCATGATTCGGCCTATGGGACAAAAAATATATCAACCGTTAATATCCACAAGTCTCCGTTGGTTGCCAAATTGAATGATGATTATGGATCTAGCAAGGCGTATATACACACCTAAATCGGAACATGAATAAACCACATACAACCTTTGTGGTAGTCCACGATCAACTTGAGAACAAGCTGCTAGCATTATTTGTAAAGACAAATATGCAGGAGTAGGGCATACTAGTTTGCAGAGACGAGGGTTAAACTCGTTTTCATTTCTATCATTTTGATGCGATTATAATATTAGCTAAAGATTTCGTTATGGCGAGAAGGGGAAATACTAGTAGCTCAGGACGTGACTTACAATGTACATGGATAGAAAAGTACATCAGAAGCAGCAGCGAGAGCAGTGTTGATGCATTAGCAAGGCCGGTGTGCTTGTCCATCAAGATGATGCAATTGAGATTGCAAATTCTTCCTTGGGGAGTGTGTATGTATGTTTTCTGATCGAAGTACACTACAATATGCTTGCTTTATCTACACATTGTTTCCATATATATAGACACACATATGAGAGAGAGTGTGTGAGAGAGAAAGAAGCAGAAAGAGAGAGAGGAGAAAATCAATTTAGGGATACAATACCCCACATCCAAGATATATCTCTACCAATATATATGATTACTTAGAATACATTAATTGTAACCAATGTATATCCTTAGAATACATTAATTATATTAGTTTTTCTTAGACTATATTAATTTTATATATATATATATATGTATAGTAAAATACATCATATATATACACACATACAGGGGGCGGAGCTTTGTTGGGGCAGACCTGGCCATGGCCCGCCCAGAATTTGGGCAAAAAGATTAGGAAATCGTTTGTAATCAGCCGGCTGAAACTGCGCATCGCGTAAGTCGCCTTGCGAGCCAACCACGTGTCCCTGCGTGGGCTATGGTCACGGACTCCCGCTATTTCTTTTTGGTGGGCGCCTGCTGTTTGCACACTAGCCACCAGCCACTGTCAGCCTCTGCTACCTACGTCACACATAATTAGCCATTGTTAAGTTTGTCATGTTTTTCATGTCAAAAAAGAAACTGTCAAGTTTTTTCCGCGAGAAAATATTATGATCAAATATGTTGACAAATTTTTTGAGCCGATTTGTTTTGCAATAAATTAGTATTTGTTCCCTATATCAGTATTTGTTTCATATATGTATATGACACGCGCTACACCTCGACCAGATAATACGCGAATTGGTTCGGCCGCCTCAAAAGCTGTTGGATCTCATGCTCAATAGCCATCCGAGATATGAGCCGCGTCGGCTGAAATGCAACCTATCGTTTACAATATGACACATGTTGCATTCTAAGGTTTGTAACATGACCTCTGTTGCGGTCACATTGCAAACACTCCTCGGTATCCCAAACATTTTTTTGATTGTTACAACGTGCCTTTAGACCCATGCTGCGACCACTCATTTGCAATATAACGCATGTTGTGCTTGGGGATTTGTAACACGAGGCATGTTGCACTTGCATTGGAAATACTCCTCGGTCGTCTATGAGTCATGTCCGCAACATGCATAGTGGGATTGGTTGTCTCTTCCCCCTTTCCTCTTCCCATCTCCATTCGTCACGCCGACTACCCCACCCACTGTGCTACGAACCGGGGGAGAACGTCAGCGACCATCGCTTGTTGCATCTCCGTCGCAGCTGCTCATCGCAGCATCCACCGTCGCCGTAGCATGCCATGTCAAAGCACCCCATCGCCCGCCGCTCTGCGATGGAGCACCGTGCGTGCCGGTGGTGGTGCTGCAGTGAATCATCGCCAGTGGCCATCCGGTGTTGCAATGGAGCTTCGACGAGGCAGTTGATGCTATGATGGAGCACCGTTGCATGGTGGTGGCCCGCTGCAGCGAAGCTTCGTCGGTGGCCATTGGGGTGCTACGATGGAGCATCGCCGTGCCAGTGTTGGCACTGTAGTGAAACATCGCCGGCAACCGTCGGGTGCTGTGATGGAGCACAGATGGAAGACGCTGCAGTGAGGCACCAACGGAGCACCGCAGGGTCAGCGACAGCGTTGCAGTGAAGCATCGTTTGCAGTGGCGGGTGCTGCGATGGAGCAGCACTGCGCCAGTGCTGGTGCTGCAGTGAAGCGTCGCCAACAACCATACGAGGAGCATCGTTGCGCTACCGTCAAGGGGTGTGGTGTTGCTTCCCACAGTGATCGGCGCTTCGATCGAGAGTAGGGGATGACTCGCGCAATGGCGTTGACCGAATCAAACGGGTGGCGAGAGTCGGATCTGATGTTCCAGAACTCGACTGATCCGTAGCCGCGATGCCCATGTTATGTGTCAGTCGGTTGTTGTTTGGC